GAATTTGGGAGAATTTGGGGGAATTGATTTTATTTTTGATTTTAGTATTAAATATTTGATTTTTCTTGATTATTAATTGAAAAAATTCTGATTATTTGCTGGTTTCATTTTGATTTTTTTATTAATAGTTGTTTAATTTTCATAATTATTAATTAAAAAATTCTGATTATTTATTGGCTTAATTTAGAATTTTTTATTCATAATTATTTAATTTTCATAATTATTAATTTTAAAATTCTGATTATTGCTTTTATTTCAAATTTATTATTAAAAATTACTTACTTTTCTTAATGATTAGTTTAAAAATATGATTATTTAATTCTTGCTTTTATTTCAAATTTATTATTAAAAATTATTTACTTTTATTAATTAATTAGTAAAAATACTTTAATTTTATTAATTATTAATTTAAAAAGTTCTGTTTATGTATTGGTTTTATTTTGAATTTATTATTAAAAATTATTTAATTTTATCAATTATTAATTAAAGATGCTATAATTTCTTTAATTATTAATTAAAAAATTAATTTTTTTTTGTGATGTTGTCAGATCCTGGGGAAGCTGACAGTGAAGGAGATCAGCATCGAGAGGATCAGCGTGGATTGTCCCGGTCCCAGCGAGGCCCCGCTCAGCGAGGCCGACCTGGGCCACGTCACCGAGATCTACGACTTCCCCCCGACCCTAAAAACCGAGGATCTGATGGAAATGTTCCTGGATTTCCAGTGAGTGGAGATGTTCAGTTCAAAATGGGATAGAGATTGGGAAAACGCCCTGTAAAATGCTATGAAATGCCATAAAATGCCATGAAATGATATAGAATCCAACAAAACTGTGTAAAACTCCACGGAACCCCACAAAATCCAACAAATCCCCACAAAACTCCCACAGAACCCCACAGAACCCCACAAAATCCAACCAAACACCACAAAACCCCCACAAAACCCCACAAAATCTAACAAATACCCACGAAACCCCCACAAAATCCAACCAAACCCCCAAAAAACCCCATAAAATCCAACAAAATGCTATAAAACCCCACAAAACACCACAAAACCCCACAAAATCCAACAAAATCAAACCGAACCCCACAAAACACCACAAAATAAAAAAAAAACCTCACAACCCGCACAAAATCCCATAAAACACCAAAAATCCCTTTTGGGGCGTCTGGGTTTTATTTGGGCTTGGTTTTTTCTGCAGTTTAAATGAATTAAGAATATTCTGACATGAATTGAAGATATCCCGACATTAATTAAAATTATTGTGACATTAATGAAAAATAACATGAATTCAAATTATTCTGACATGAATTCAAATTATCCTGACATGAATTAAATTATCGTAACATGAATTCAAATTATCCTGACATGAATTAAATTATCGTGACATGAATTATTGTGACATGAATTAAAATTATTGTGATATGAATTAAATTATCGTGACATGAATTAAAATTATCGTGATATGAATTAAATTATCGTGACATGGATTAAATTATCATTAATTTAAATTAAAATAATTAATTAAAATCCTTTTTCCTCGCAGCGAGAGCGGCTTCAAACTCCAGTGGGTGGACGGGACGCACGCGCTGGGGATCTTCTCCAGCCTCTCCACCGGTATTTGGGGTCCATTTGGGGTC